CCCCCCCACCCCCCACCCCAACCCCCCCACTTACAATTTACAGATGTCACCTAACCACCTCACATGCAGATACTTCAATTTGCAGAAGTCCCCTAAACGCCTCACTTGCAGACTATTGGCAAANCCCACCCCCCACCCCAACCCCCCCACTTACAATTTACAGATGTCACCTAACCACCTCACATGCAGATACTTCAATTTGCAGAAGTCCCCTAAACGCCTCACTTGCAGACTATTGGCAAAGCTTCAATTTACAGGTGTCCCCTAAACAACTAACATGCAGGCAATAGGTAGACACTAGCTTCAGCACCCATCAGTAGCAGTGCACTGTATAGTGTCTTTATGGGAGGTTTACGGGTGTTTATAGTTATCACTGCAAAATGTACAAACATAAGGGGCATTCAGGGACCCTTTTTGCTCTTTATTCTGGTAAATATATAAAGACTGAATCAAGCTGAATGTTAGATCTCGATATGTGATGTTGTTTTTTTGAATGAATTATTTCAAGTAAGCACAGGTGTACTCAGCTTTCCCCAGTGGTGATCCTAGACTCTGGGGGGCACCATGCAAGACACCCACTTGAAGAACCCCCCCACCCCCCACCCCAACCCCCCCACTTACAATTTACAGATGTCACCTAACCACCTCACATGCAGATACTTCAATTTGCAGAAGTCCCCTAAACGCCTCACTTGCAGACTATTGGCAAAGCTTCAATTTACAGGTGTCCCCTAAACAACTAACATGCAGGCAATAGGTAGACACTAGCTTCAGCACCCATCAGTAGCAGTGCACTGTATAGTGTCTTTATGGGAGGTTTACGGGTGTTTATAGTTGTTGTGTACAAACAAATGTACAAACATAAGGGGCATTCAGGGACCCCTTTTGCTCTTGGGGGACCCAAGCACTGGTTTGCGTCTCCTGATGGTGCGCCTCTGCACATCCCAGCAGGATTGATTCAACATTTTCCATATGTCTTTCCTGCATTCATATGTCCCTCTGCTTCCAGCGTCTCCAAACTCAGGGACCAAAACAATCCATCTGCCATATTGTTTATTAAGCTGAGAGTAACAGTTTAGGTTCAAGATATAATGTTGAAACCAGATATTTGGTGCTACTCTACCGTGGCCAAATGCAGAGCTGTTGAGTCAGACGCAGCAGTGTTTCGAGGAGGAGGAGGCTTCATTACACCTCGAGCAGAATGAGAGCCCCTGTATCCAGCGGTAACGCACTTCATTGCAACTTGTTTTGTTAAACTTGTGCAGACGCAGAATGTAAAATGGCCAATTTGGGGTTGTAGAGGGAGGGAGGTGCTGGAACTACTTTTAGCAAATAACTGCCAGGTGCAGTGACTGTTGCAGAATTCTTGAATCTTGTTTTCACAGTCAGGTTGCCAGGTTCGATTTCATTGTACCAAACATGGGTTGTAATTTTAGATTTTTTTCTAAACAGACATCACTTCACTCTCTGAAAGAGAGCAAATAAGCATATTCCAGTTACCTCTTATATGTTTGGGAATTCCCTCAGCGCATCATTGGATCAAAAAAGTCGCAGCAGATATGAAACAGCTTCGATGCGAAAACAAATTTGAGATAACATCCATCACTGCTGCTACATCTGAGCCTCGTACTGGTGCAGCTTCAGCAGACTGGTCTGTCCTATCAGCCATGGCTCCAGTCAACTCTTCATTTTATTGCTGCCTCCTTTACACATGAAACAATGCAACACAGAAGAGAGAGACTGTCCAGTTTAACCATTTATTTCAGCTTATAAATTATCCCAACTTTACAAACACCATGCAGTTTTGTCAGAATCAAGCAAGTGCAGAAGTGTAAGCGGCACAGGATCATGGTCAGAGAATGATCTGTGGTCAGTTTGCTGTTATTCGAGGAAAGATATGATGATGTGAAGTAATAACAGGTGTATTATTACAAGTTAGGTTTCTCCATTTTGTTCCCTATTTGAAACCCTTTTCACATTTTGGGATATTAAATGACACATTTGACATGTCCAGCTGGTCATACACAGTCAAAAGAACAAATTGCAAAGAATGGATTCATCTTTAAGAGGATTTAACATGAATTTCGTAGGCTATTATATAATAGTTATAGATGTAGTCTCTTCAAAGTATAGATAAAAGACATCTGAAAATTTTATAATACCTTTTTCTGATGCCTATAAAATCCAATATTCTGTAATATGACACATTTTAGTAAATCCAGCATGTTTGTTACTTAAGTAAGCCCAAATAAGGTAACTGCAATGATACAGCTAAAAAGATCTCAGAGAGAGTTCTAAATCACAAAAAGACAAAGGAAGAACAAGACACAACAACAACAAATTGAAAGCTCAACGGGAATGACATGACAAAGATGCTGCGTGCAGTTTAATCTGAGACAAAAATCACATCAGTTCTTCTTGGAGTTCTAAGTGCATCCCAATTCAGTGGCCGCATCCTTTGGAGGACCAAGTTGTGGCGTCTGAAGACGACATAGACCATGAAGGCAGAACCAAAATGAGATGGTCTGGTCTGGTCTGCAGAGGATTTCCTATTTATCCTCAGCTGCTGTTACAGTGGAGTCTGCCTTATTCTCTTTTTGAAAAGTGATTTATCACTGGCACGCAATGAATCTTGGGATAGGTTGGGTTATGAAAAATCCACCCATTGGATTTTTCATTGCCCGAGAAAGGAAGGATTCATTTCTTTGGTCAATCTTAAAGCAGTCTTTGAAATGGGTCTTTAAATGCAGCCTTCAAAGGATGCGGCCTGTGATTGGAGACTCAAATATTGATATCATTCATTGTGACTCACACTTCCCGAGCATATCATTATCATTACCTCTGATTTCTGTGATCCATTTAACAATCAATGGAAAAAGATGCTTCAGAACTTGCCAGAGAATCATCGGGTTTTTACTTTTTCTGCAGTATCAAAGTCATCCAGTGAGAGATGTTTGTACATCCATGGTGACGTTGCAACTAAGAACTGCTAAGAGCTAAGTCAGCATAGTTTTAATGGTGCCAAAATATATGGTATAAAGAGAATACCTGTACCTATCTGTATGTGACATTACAACAGCCTGTTTGAGGGTTTAGATTTTTTCTATCATCATACAGGTCTATATGTTGGCGTAAGGATGTTTCAGGCTGTCCGACTATAGAAAAAACATTTTCACGCAAGTCAAATTTCACACTCAGCTGATGAAAAAGGAAAATACAGAACACGGGACCGCAACAGCGGGAACCAGCAAATTCAGAGAAAAACACACATATGCTCCAGACGGTATCAAAATCATCGACCAGCAGCAGGTGATGTGAAAATCACCCCACCTCCCCTTGAGACATAAATCCAGTCCGAATACGGCCAAAGCTTCGGTGGACCACTGGTGAAGGTGCAGACGCTCTGGTGATCCTCAGGGCTGCACAGTATTCAATCTTCATTATCTAATCAGATACTATGGTGAGTCTGTGACCTGTGTTGGCTCTAAGGTTAGAAAATAATGACGACTGTAATGAGGTAAAGGCACCTGCAACTGTTTTGTGATATGATCTCTCAAATATTAATATTAAGTGAAGTTTTGTTTGCAGTACATAGAAATAGTCACAGTAGATTTAGAAGTAGTCAGCAAAAACTATACTCGAAAATGGAAAAATACAAGTTTCTTTGATACCCTGACATTTGCACTCTGATACAAATCTTACAAACAATAAGTAGAATCTGAAGCATTATATTACAGCAACTTCCATTACATAACTTCATCAGCATGACCCTGGAATCCAAATATAATGCTACTGATCGTCCACACTGTGGGTCTAAAGGTTTTCAGTGATGCTGTTGGAGTGCTTTCACAGATAGCAGCGCTCTCATAGCTGGCTCATCACAGCAGTTACTCCTCATAAAACTGTCTCTCCTCCCCATCAGGAGCTTCTATGGGCTAGTCATCTTCTTCAGATGTCTGCGGGACAAAGACCTCGTCCTCCTTAAAGCAGTGCCTGAAGAAGGTGAGCACTGAGTTTAGCATGTAGTGTCGGCTCTTGACAGAAACAATGTTGTGTCCTTCATCTGGGAAAATCTGGGTGGCGGGAAACAGGAAACAGGTTGTTACTGGTTTGACCCTTTTAGAGGCCTCAGAGTCACAAGTCACAAAATAAAATCCCAGTTAAAAGGATAAGGCTGGTGATATTTTATATTTTTTCAACTGTCCATGAAATGACCAAAACCAATAATTGATTCCATCTATCAGTATTTTCTGACATCCTGTCCTGTGTGTAGCTCTGAGCTCCAAGCTCTTTAAGGGATACAAACGTTCCTAAATGTTCTCATTTCCTAAAACATGACTGTAACTTTTAGTAGATGTTACTCAAACAGGAAGAAAAAGTATATTTGTTGAAGACTGTTTTCAGTCACAGATATGATATGCTAGTGAGTGTTTACAATAGCTGAGCGAGACTGTCCTGTAAAAACACGAGCCCATAGGTCGTCTGTGCAGCAGGTTGTTATGACCCATAGTTATGTTTTGTTGCTAGGCGACATCTAGTGGTCATTGTAATGATGACAGGAGAAAAGGGAAAAGTGCGGTGACGTAGTATAAAGAGAGACAAAGTCCACGTCAGGAGGAGGCTGTGGTGGATGGCTGGTGTTCAATTCCCATGTAAAAGTAGCAGTTTATGTTGTTTCTTCAATCCATGACCATTCGACAAAGTTAACTATGTTGTTATTACTGTAACCATGACAACAATGATTGTAACCAAGTCATGACTGCGTATTATTGTAACCATGGCAATGAAGGTCTGGTATGCCACTGTCGGTACAGTTGTCGTGCTTATTATAGCAACCTGACAACCAAGGTCTGGTGCGCCCGCTGTCATAGGAGCTCTGTTTCAGGAGACACTCGTGTGGATCGTATCAGAGGGTTGAAAACAAACGACCTGTATGGTTGAGGTTGGAGGAGGAGTTGGCTGGACACTGTATGTAAGTTTGAATCAAAGAAACAACAGAGCATGTCCTCATGCTAATGAAGGAACAGTGCAACAATGTGACTCACTGAGGTGTTTGTAATAGTTTTTGATGGGTCTATATTAGGCTCTGATACACACAGTGCTTTTCACTGGGATGCATTCATTGTTGGTTTTGGTCTTTTCATAGGATTTGATGACAACAAGGAAAGTATTCACAAAAAGTTGAGAAAAATAGACTCAATCTAGTTCCTAACTGATCATGATTGGAAAAACAATGAGAACTCCTGAAAATAAGGGGTGTGTCAATCCTAACTTGAAGACTCCTGACGCGTAACATCAGTGTGAAGCTAGAGGAGTTCAGAGTTCAGAGTCCTGAGACCTACTTAACCAAATTAGCCCAATAAGGTTCCTTAGCTACTGTAGAAAGACAAAGAGCTTAGAATATCATGTTTTAGCAGCATTTTCCATCAAGACTAATCACCCTTTCATAGATTCAACAGTCCATCTGGAAACTGGTCCCCTCGCTGCCAGCCAATCACTATAGACCTCTGAGTCAGCTCTTTCATGGAACATGACGTCATCTATAGCAACTGGGTCAACCCTGCCCCTCTTCTTAGCTCAGGAGCTCTCTTTTTTAGTCAAAGTTGCTGTCAGCAGTTTTGTGAAAAGGTCTTTTGAGGAAACTCTTAGCTGGGAACCTTTAGTTCCATTTAGAACACTGTCTGTTTGAGCTATAAATACAAAATCAAGGTCTCCTCTTGTTGGGGAAGTGAATTGAATTGTAACTAAGACGAAACGGCAGCAGTCACCTGGAGAGTGTAGTTAACATTGGACGCAGACAGCAGTTTGACCAACTCAGCAGAATGTTGGAAATGAACAGTGGCTGAAAGAGAAGAGATAATTAAAATGGATTCATCAAAGGCCTGATACAACAGCTACTCAGTCCATTACTCTCCCACAGTTGGGAATTTAATGCCAATCAATTCCTGTACCAAAACATTCCCAGAAAAAAAGAAACTCAGCAACGACTTACTTCTTCATTCTGAATGCAATAGTATACATTGTACCACCATTATACCACAATTATACCAATCAATGCACAAAAAGCTGAGGACAGTTATTGTGTATTGTGCAATGTACTTTCTAAGTTTGCTGAAAGTCCAACACAGTGGCTAAGTGGGGAAGGAAAATACAGGATTCTGCTTTGTTATTGGAGTGTTTCATTGACAGTTAACTGTATTATGTTTGATATGTTTAGTGTCAGTTCCAAGGAAAAATCCTAATATTTCTTCAGCCAGGAAGGAGTGCAGACTATATTGGTATTTGGTTTGTCCCCTTCTTGCTTTAATGATAGCATCCACAAAACCTGATGACCCATTTTATCCCAACAAGATGTGCCAATATTCCACAGAGCTTCTTCTGGTGTAACAGACTGCTCGGCTTGCTCAGTCTTTTAATGTGTCCCTATAAATGTTCAATGAGGTTGAGGTCAGGTGACGATGGAGGGGAGTCCATGACAGTCAGGACGCCTTGGTTTTCTGTGGTCTTGAAGTAGTTCTAATAAAGCTTTGGGGTGTGTTTGGGGTCACGATCCTGTTGCAGTATGAATCCTTCTCCACATAGATGTAAACCAGAGGGTGTAGAATGTCTCTGAAGACTGGAGTGGTATTCCTCATTGGTCAGGGTGGAGTCAATTCAGTGCAGGCGTCCAACTCCAGACTTGAATATTCCCACCACCATGTTAAACTGTGGGATTGATTCTCTCTCCTGTCCGTCTCCTTACATACATCCTTCTGTTACTGCCATACATCTCAAACTTGGATTCATCAGTGAATCCATCCACTATGAAATGCTGGTATTTCTTACCCCACCCGGAGTGTTTGGCCTTGTGGTTTAGAAACTTGAACAGTCTTCTTTTGACAGGACTTTTGCTGATTGCAGTCTTACAGAGCACATTCTGTATCTGTGGTGAAGATGCTTTTCTATCTCTCAGGGAACTCAGCTTGATGTATTGATCTTATGATGGTTTGGTGACTTATGGTCTGCATGATCTGGCTTTGAATACAGCCATCACAATATTACTTAGTGAGGAATGATGTGCTGGGAACCTCGAAGTGCAGTCTTATTTATAAAAGCTGAACACTGTAATTTTATTGCTGACCTAGAAACGGAGCAGAATCTCAAATATTTCTTCATTTTATAACAGTGTTTTTAAATGTTTCTGAATCCTCAAACTTTCTGATTATTTCCAGATTTACATGAAAACATCAGATTTTCAATGTAGTCTCAGACTTGTGGACCCGCTGTATATTAAATATAGTTTTCATTTAAAGGTGTGGGACAAAAACAAGCATTAAATGTCACAAAATAAGATTTCACACCAGACTCAAGATCAAAAGATCATGACTGGAGTTGTTAATGGTTAGCCTGGCAATAAACCCTATGATACACCTACATACAGTATACTCACCATCTGCTGTGCCATGGATAATAAGGAAGTTCAGTGGACTCAGTGCTGTGATGTTACTGAGCAGAGTGGAAATCTGTTGGAGACAGTAAATAGTTAAATTACCCTCCACACACAGAAACAGCAACGGTTTCATCATCATCTAGATGTCTAATTTAAAGCTAATTATCAGGAAGTGAAGTTAAATGCAGTTACACTTCAGGAGCTTGTGATCTTATGTTTGTAAGAATGAAGAAAGAATTAAGTTTGAACAAGAAAATAACATTTTTGAACAGCATCAGGTCCCACAATAATAAATATTTAATAATATAATATAAATAATACATATTTATAAGGTAAGCCCAGTGAGTTGTGGCCTAGACTGAAGTAAGTATAGTAAGTGCAGTTTACACAGCACTAAGGTGGAAGGAGAGGTGCAAAGTGAATTGTGGGTATTTTGTTTGGAATTGGGTCTGAAAAGTGTCAGCCGAGAGCAGAAGCCTCTGAACTAAGTGTGTTTCTGGTGCTGAGTTAGTCAGCTTGTATTTTGTTGCTTCTTTCAACAAGTACAAACTAAATACTTGTTCACTGTAAATTGCCATTTTCTTTTGATGAGAAAATCAGTGTTCATTACAACAGAATTGCAGGTTTGTGATATGAAGTTATCATTTTAAATTTCAACATAGTATGTAAGAATCATCTTTTTTCCACCAGAAGCTAATCAAAGGTGTGAATCATTTTCATAGTAATAGTTTTCCAATGATGTCTTGTAATTGCCCAGACAATTGCAATTTAGACTGTGCAAAACTCAAAACTGTGAAAAAAAAACTAAACTTTTTTTTTGATACTATGAAAAACATCGCATATGGCGGAAAATATTGCAACGTTTGATATTATCGAACACTGGCCCAAATCTACTACTGTATCACATCAATTTCATGTTAATAGCTTTAACAAACGTGTTATTTTATTGTACAACAGTAAGCTACTTCATAAAGCAGTTAATATGTATTCAGATCAGTGTGTTGCAAAACAAAACTGGCTTTACTAGGGGAATGACATGATTGGACTCCCAATTTCTCCTTAAACATAAACTCAACTAGCCACTAAACGCAGTCCAGACAGTAATAACCTCTTATTGTCTGGTGGAGCTGCCCCACTGTGACTGGCACGACTGCTTCACAGGGAAATATGAATGGCTGAGAGGACAAAATTTATCACCGCTCTCTCCAGTTAAGATTTCACTTCATACAGCCTTTTTTGCACATGCTGCCAACGCTCCTTATTCTGTATGAAAGAATAACAGATGTGCTTGGACTCCCACCCTTGCCCCTGTATCTCATTCACATGTTCAATGCCGTAAGAAACTGTTATTCATACACATACAAGTGTACACACGTCTATTTCGTTTTCCAGCATTGTTCGGAAGGTCAGGAGGATAAACTGGTTAAAGTTCCCATATTTTAGATGTCCATGTGTTGTTTGATTATAAAGCAGGTCTAGGTTCTATATTAATACTGTGAAAGTATCAAAGCCTCAGTCCACAGAGAAATGCACACAGCCTGTATTCAGAAACTGAGCCTTAAAACCAGCCGTCAGGACTTCTGGAACTTTGTGATGTCACAACAAAGCAGTCACCATTCTAAGCCCCGCCCACCCAGACCCATCGGCCAACATTACAGGACTTCAGAAGAGAGGCTCAGAGCCTCCTCTCTTTTGATTGGCTCACCGACCTGTTGTTACTAGAGCTACAGAGAGAAGCCTGACAGAGGAGATGTAAAACTACATTGAGATTTTTGGTTCTTAAAACCACAAATATATCTTCTGGTGGATCAACACTTCAAATAAAACACAGTAGAAGAGGAAAATATGGAGCTTTAAGTTTTGATCACTCTCAATTCAAAGAGAGAAAGGAACGAGGATGTATTCTAGCTGTGCGAACAGTTAATGCTGGATTAATATAAAGACACACTCAGACAGTTTTCATTCACATTGAGTCTAATAAAACCTTCGAAGACACCACTGACATCCTGTCGTACTTTGTATTTGTGATCCTCTTTCACCGGAGAGCCAAAGTATTTCTCAGTGAAGGCTGACCCTTTATAAAGATACAAAGAAAACAGTATTGTGAGTAGGAACAGCATTGCTGTTTTAATTCACACACATTTTAATCATGAAAAGACTCCCAGTTGATGATTAATATAAAGTTTATTAGCCTTCTTAGGTTTGTTAAACACTATGAATAGATGGACCAAGACTATTACAAGTCTTATATTGTAAATTTGTTAATGAATATATGTCACTGATGAGCAAATGCTAAATACTTGTACACTTGGGATAAGCTACAACTTCAGATCACTTTAACATTGTGAGTCTGTATGATATTCCATCACTGTATGATTCTTACCATAGAGTCTCCAGTTTGTTATAGGAGCCACAGCGATGCCGCATTTGAACATGGAGCTGTGGGAAAGGAGCAGGAGCGAGGACAGGAAGCCTCCGTACGCCTGGAGAAGACAGACATCCCTGCTGCTTAAGAAACGGTCTAAATTTCAAGTCAAAATGTATTTATTTGATAGAGAGGCTACTGTAACGTTACCTTTCCATAAACTCCAACTCTGTTGCCATCGATGTACGGCAGCCTCATCAGGTGCCTGAAAAATTAGAGTGAATTATTCGAGCTGTTACTCTTTCACGCTGACAAAGAAATCAAATGACTTTTCTAGAACTAGTATAAATAGAGACGAATTATTTTCATGACTCAGCTCTGCTCGAACAAAGGGGACCCACCAACAACTCTAGAGTCTCCATTAGACCCCACATTTCTACGGTGGCCCTGAGACCTCAGCTCACTGCAACTTTACCAAGTGATTGTTGCAAGGAAAGATAAAGTAGTTATCACCATGACAACTGTCCTTATGCTGTCTATGAATACTACAAACTTGTGGTCAGTGTTTTAGCATCTGATGAGACTTTACATATTATTCTGTTCCTCCAGCTGGACTTACTGGATTACATTTCATTGTCTTACTGGCACCTTAATCAACACATCACCACCAACAGCCCCCTGCACTGTTTTCAGTCTGAATCTCTGCTACTACAGCAAGCTACCACAAGCTGACCCCAGAAATGAGCGGTAAGTGTAATGTAAAGACTGAATGTCAAATCCTTTATAATTCTTGTTTCTGAAAAACAGTAAGTAAATTCTTACTTAGATGCTGGGATAAATTGGACGGTTTAACATGGGAGTCTATGCAGACTCACTCACTGTTAGAGCCAGACTCCAGTGGTCATAAGAGGAGCTGCAGTTTTCGGCTTCATTTTTTCAGTCCCGGAGGTTGACGCTAGGGCAACCCCACAAAACAGGCTATGGTATACACAATTTGTTAGGCTGGTCTAGTACTGGATAATTTTTAGGCAAAAAACACTTACTGCAGAACTGAGATTTGGTCCTGGACATCGACACTTCCCAGCCTCTGATGAACCTCGTGCAGGATCCTCTGGCCCTGGAAGCCGCTGCCCCGACCGTCCAGTCGAGCCACGATGACGCTGTCTGAACTCACCAAGACAGAGTCCCAGCTGAGAGAGAAGCGGTCGCTCACCGCCTGACCACCAGGCGCGCTGTCACTGAGAAAGAGCCGAATAATAATAATGATATCGCCAAAGATGCTCAAAGGTACATGAACTTAATTTCTGAGCATTACTTTAGAGCTTTGTGATTAATAAATGAACTAAGTCTCTGTTTACATTGTAATCTCTCAAATTAAATGAGAATTTTAGAATATAAGACTATAAAAAGTAAGATTAAGATATGCTTCTACAAATTGAAAATGCGCAATGTGCAAATGAAGTTACATACAGAACCAATAAAAGTGGGTACGCCTTTGTTTCATCCAAATCTATGGGGACAATCAACTCTAGAGGAAGTCCTGCAAACACAAATCAACAAGAGAACTTCAGGATTTGATACATTTGTCTGCAATTAACCTTTCATTGTAAACTCACAGTTTAACATTCAGAGTGCATTTTAATGGGGAAGAAGAGCTCAACACAGTGGCTTCATCAGTCATGAAAAAAGATGGAAGGGGTGACACAACTAATTGCTTTTCTTGAGTCATTAGTTTGAATGGCTTTGCTTCATTAAGGTTTAAAGTGATAGTTGGGGTTATTTGACGTGGGGTTGAGTGAGGTACTTATCTATGGTCAGTGTATTACCTGCAGTAGATTCGGATCAGCGCACTGCCATGTCGAAGAAGCAGCAGGAGCACCGCCACAGAGGCTGAGTGATGTGCTGCTGCGGGCAGGGGTCACCAGAAAAATGTATTTTAAAAAAATGCCCACAGAAAAAAGTTGAAGTGCACGCTTTATTTTGAATGTTTTCACCACTTTATCTTGCTGTCAAACAGCCCTTTCCTTTGGAACTGACTGAAATCTGACTCAAACAGCTGATCTGCAGAGAAATACAGTGCGCACCTTAGTTGTGATTGTGAGTAGTAATACAGTAGTTCAACGGTTCACAAACTGTAGATCCAAAGGAAAGGGCTGTTTGACAGCAAGATAAAGTGTGCACTTCAACTGATGTTCGTTTTTTTTTTTTTTTTTTGTAGGATTTTTTTAAAGTGGCTTAAACACCGCTGCTTCTCTAAACTGGCAGTGTGGTAATCTGAATCTATTGCAGGTAATACACAAATGGTTATAGATAAGTACTACTATAGATAAGTACCTCACACAACCCTACGTCAAATAACATGAACTATTACTTATATTATTAGAAACCTGGAATGTTCAAATGTTTTCCCTCAATGCCTCTTACTGCCTGGAAGTTTCTTTAAAAACCTGTGTGAGTGATTCACAGTGAGGTGAAGAGCCAGTGATGTGATCATTGTTGGAGGTGTTAACTGGTGTGTATCAGCAGATCAAAGATGTCAGGACTGTGCTGTCAGCACAGGACAAGTGAGCGTATCACTTAGAAATGATTCTTTTTAAATGAGTGTTAAAATGTCACACTGCACTACACTGCCATGTCTAGTTGCCTTTGACCACGACTGTATGTGGACTGTGACCTGTGAATGATTATGAATTGACAGGTTTCATGAAAACCCTTCAACAGCCAAAATAAACCTGAAAGAAACACAGTGGCTCATGTGAAAAAAATAAGCCTGTGATTCCATTTGTGTTCAGCTTTTGGTGACAGGTTTCCCATCTGACTGTGTGTCTACACAAAAGGCCTTAAACACGTATCTCATTGTCTCTAATAGTGAACACAGATTAGGGAAAGGAAGCCATATGGTAAGCCATCCACTCTAATTAAAATTATATACGATTGCATTTGGGATTCCAGGGCTGTTTCATAATCACCTCAAAAAGCTCAGCACCTGTTCACTCAGTTGTGTTTATCCTGAATCTACATATCTGATTTTGACTGTCCAGTTCATGGGCACATACTGTACATCATTACATTGGAAATTATCACAACTGTCTTAATGAGAAACCTGCTTACACCTAACTGTTTCTAACCATATTTTACAAGTATGCATGACAAAGAATTAAAGGTCACATATTTGACACTTCCATTGATCCATAAGAAGATATATTTGTGGTTTTAAGAAACAAAAACCATCTCAATGTAGTTTTACATCTCCTCTCTCAGACATCTCTCTGGAGCTCTAGTAACAACAGGTATGTGAACCAATCAGAAGAGAGGAGGCTCTGAGCCTCTCTTCTGATTGACTGACTGTTTTCTGAGTGATCCATTAAGGGCAGATTTCAGGTAAACACTGAGATCAAATTCTGCAAGGTTGGGCTCAGGTGGGCGGGGCTTGGGAGCATGGCTGAGAGTTGTTCCAGAAGTCCTGACATTTTAAGGCTCAGTTTCTGAATACAGGCTGTGCGCTTTGATACTTTCACAGTATTAATATAGAACCTAGACCTGCTTTATAATCAAACAACACATGGTCCTCTGCTTTTATACTATATGGGGCCTGTAAGAGGATCTTCTGGAACATGTCAGATATACCTGATGCTAAAACACTACACACCAGTGTAAAGGCTAATAATATAATGAAGTAAAATTTACCAATTGTGGAAAGAGTCTATGGCAACCTGGAGTGTTGTGTGGATGGAAATACGCTGTATGTGAAAGGTTACACAACTGAATTTTAACCTAAAATTGGTTCCTCAACCCACTGATTATGACTCACTCACTGTAACATGTCCATTTGTTTCTAAACCTTCATTGAAAACAAGGTTGGTTGTTGTAAATATGGCGATAACTGAGGTAATGATGATATAGACAACACTTAAGGATGAGTCAGAGAACAAAAAATCATCATCGCAAAACCCAACATTCTGCACATAGAGGTGATTGCAATGTCACACCAAGGTTGTTGATTTGTACAGTTCGTCTTTCCCACTTGGGTATCGTCCTGTTCATCAGTACATGTTTTAATACTGTGTTCCCTTCAAACGTCTTGTGCTCTGTTAGAAGACATAAGAGAAATAGAATTACTTTAGTTCAGAACAATCTCAGAGTTGTGTGTAAATTACCAAACACAAAACGGTCACATGCATCAAGAAACTGTAATCTTGAAATTTTTACCAATCAAGGTCAAACATGACGTAACATGATAAGAGAGGATTAATCACTATCTCTTAATCAGCGAGCCCGGTGGTGGTGGAGGAAAATGATCGTTTATCTACTGCAGGGTCCCCTTACGCTGCTGAGTGCCTCTGATGTAAATGTTTCAAGCACTTAACGTCTTAATCTTAATTACACCTTCATGTCCATTTTTTACGGTCCTGAGTAAACATCGGTTGATGAATAATTTCGTAATAACTTAATTTTAGTGACTCGAGTGAGTTGATCGATTTAATGCACTTTTCAGACACTGAAGGAAGACCGACTGAAAAAAAAAATCCAACTTCTACCCAAATATAATGAAAAAAACAAACCTGATGCAATTGAGTGAAAGAGTGTGAATAGTAAATTGGTTGAAGTTTGCCAGTGCCACAATACTTACTGTTCATATCATTTAGTTTGTGAAGAGTAGACTGGGGTATTCCTGGACCTGGGGAAAAATAACTCAGTCAGGAAAAGCAACAAACAAGACTAGGTGAAAACCTAGTATACGACTGGACCACATGCCATCACAGCCAAAATCCCAATAAAGCTCCTCATTTACATATTTTTCTGTTTCTGTTGTCGGAACAGTGGAACAAGTATGAAACAACAGCCATGTTTCCATTGCAGTTTTGGACAAATTAGAAGCAATTTCTTTGAAAAGTTGACAAAACACAAATACATGTTTCCATTGAGCGATGTTATGAGAATAGAAGTGGGTTTTCTCCTCTCGCGATATCATTACAATTAAACATGAAAATGTATTTCCAGCAGTCTGCCTCTGGTTGGAACTGGAGTCGGTTGGGCCTGATACGGCAGGCTCCACGACTTGAATGCTAAAAAAGTGTTTCCATTTCAATTTTGTGAAATATTACTTTGTTGAATTGAACTGTCTGAAAAAAAACACCTCATGTGAAAAGATAATTTTTTTGTGACATTTGAGAGCTTTTTTTGAAATTCATGTCTTTCATTAATTCATTAATTTTTAAGTTTGCTATTTCAAATTGGGCATTAAGCAGATTAATAGAAACACACCTAGTGACTGAAGCACAGCCCATTAAGACTGCATGCAATATTTACTTGTAAAATGATCACTCAGACAAAAGAAAGTTAGAAGCGTTCACATCAGCTGCTGTGCTCTCAGTATAGAGAGCACAGCAGCTGATGTGAATGTGTGTTTGTGTGTTTGTGGAGGGAAAGCCCGGCCTTGCCCTCGTGGCACAGTAATGATGACTCTCTTCAACAGAAAGTAGCTAAGGTTTGTCTAAAAAGTTGTTAAATCTGTTGCAAAAAAGGAGCTACGTTAGCAACACTGATTATTCATGACAGATCGTTTTGAAAGAGCAGTAGGGAAACTCCAACAGTCAGCCAGGTAACTTTATCACCCAGTCAGTCAGTCAGTCAGTCAGTCAGAAATGTGAAAAAGGCTGAGAACACATGCGGTTCTTCAACATTTAGGTGTTACTGCAGTGTCAAACCAAATGACATCTTTTACCTCTGCAGTTGAGAAGCACATGTTGGTAGTTAGGGCTGAGGATGGCGTCATAGTAGGTGCACTTTGATTTGAAGAGGGAGCACGTGAGGCATTCTTTCTGAAATGGATCCACAGTGGAGACCCTGTTTGAGGAGAGCAACAAAGATGTCAGGGTGCAACAGAGGTCGATTGCAGAGGATTTGCAACGTTTGTTTCTAGCCTGCAAGCAGGAGACAAAATGAAAGAAAAATGTTTCAAAGTGAAAGTCAAATTAATAATTAATCAACACTATAGCACACTATAACACTGAAAATACTCTTAAGACATTTTATAAATATTTTTTGGGGGGGGTCTTTTATAGTATAGTGAATCATTCTTTGAAATATGCTTCTTTGTTTTGGTAGAGATTGATACCACTCCAATGTCTGTTTGATTAACATGATTATTTTAGCTTTGCATTAGCTTTCACAGTATTGAAATAGAACCTAGATCTGCTTTATAATCAAAGAACACATGGACATCTACTTTTAGACTATATGGACCTTTAATAAATGATGGTGCTTTCTTTAAACTTGCTTCTATATTGAACTGAAAACGATATGGTACCTGTACAATTGCCGCTGCGTTGAGCCTTCCTCTGTGCTCAGGAAATAACTGAAAAACATAAAGTTAACTTGTTATAATAGAGTTCGTATTGTTCTATATATCACAATGTATGGTGTGAGTAACTCATGCTTACACTGAGTTGGTGGTCTCATCATAGGCCAGAATCTGAGAGACTTCCCAGCTTCCTGAGGTCAGGTGGCGCATGCTGCCCTCTTGACCCTCAGACTGAGAAGCACAAGAGCGAATACGTCACAACAGAGCAGAGACGTCACGTTAACATGACCCGACATGCTCTACATGGTCTTACATGGGTGTTGAGTTTTTGCACCTAGCCCTGACTTTGAATCTAACACTTTTGTTCCACTTATTATCTCTACAGAAACTGAATGAATCTGGCACAGAACCCAGAGCCTCCAGTGGAGCTACTGTCTAACACTCCCCTTAATTTATTCAAGTGAACGTGTTCTTAATTTTCTGGTGTTTCAGGGAATAGAGTTACGATATAATTTAAAATGATGAGACTTCCAAATGGAATCACATAAGCAGTATGAATAATTGGAAGGGCCTTACTGTAGGCAGGACAGATAAGAGAACAAAAAGGAAAAAAGTACACACACACACACACACACACAAGACGTTTCATTTAAAGAGTGAAAGCACCAAACTGAATCTGTTCCTTTGATTAAAAGTTTGTAATAGTTTTACTTGGTTGGAGATCATGGTGATATGGTTGAATGTCCCGCGGCCGCCGTGTTTTAAGGGCATAGTGATGAAGAGTGTTGTGCAATCTCTGGAAAATACTGGCTCCTCGTTCTGCGAAACGACACAAACAACAAACATTTCCAAGCCATTTTCACACTGTCATAAATTCTTCCACCACAAGTTATGAACATTGACTGTGTTGGAAGGTTAAATGGAAAAATGGGTTTTGGAGGCATTTCTCATCTAAAACATATTTTGCCTAATAGTTTTCAATTAAGTTCAAAAGGCCAGCAGATTGTTTTTAGCACTGGCGGCCAACTATCATTTGCTATTTCATATTTCACTGTCGTGTAAACAATCCCTTATTATTCATTTCTTCTGTTTTACAAATAAAATGTATCATAGTTTATCAAGAAGCCTCTACTTTTCAGATCCAGTTTTCAGTTGTTGTTGATGTTGTTTACCGTTAGAACAAAACTCAGAACTTCACCCATGTTTGCTTTTTCTTCTGATATATTCAGTATAATGTACGTTCCAATAGCAGCGATCCAACCAGTACAACGGACATGTCATACACACTACTCTGCTGTTTTGAGTTTCTCCTTCTCTTCATGATGTTGCACATAAAAAGCAGCTCAAAGCTCATCATTTGTCCCTTTCATGTTGATTGCACAATGCAATGTTTATAGAATAATTACACCCTCAGTGTGTGTTTAGATTGGTTTCCTATCAACATTGCTTTCACTGTGTCATTCTTTCTGCCACAAGCCCCGAAATTTTGCGGGGAAATGAAGGTTCGATTTATGACAGAAAGAAGTGTGTCTGCCACTGGTGGCTTTCTCCAGGTAGCAGGAATGGCTGTCTGTTGCACAACCGGAGAAGATGTAGATTTTGTGTTGTACAGGTCAGGTTTTTGATGTATGATTCAGTACTGATCCAGTCCAAAGATGGTGAGCCACCTTACCAGGATCCACTGCCATGATGACTGAGAATGTGAAATGTGTTGAATGGACTGTGAACTTTGCTGATTCTAGAGATTTTAACACTAAACCCAATTTAATGATGTGGGATGACACCATAGACACTGAGTCAAATCCCCCGGGGGTGTAGTGTTTTTCATGGTTTAAGTATTTTGGGCCTTTTCTCTTTTGATATGATTTTGTTTGTTTCTTCTATTGTGGGTGCAGGTGTGTCATAACCAGGTTAGAGATGACAATAATTACAACATATATTGTCAAACTAAGCCTGTTGACTTGCCCTCATCAATCATCCATCCTGCTCCAGCAGTCAAACCTTAGCATTCGGTCCAGCATCCTACTGAATGCTGAAATTCATATTCTACCAATTGAACTATATTGTGTTTTGCCGCTTTCGCTGCTTCCATTGTGTAACATTGTATTTTTTTGTGCTTTTTCCTTATTCTCTGGAGAAACAAGTCGTTTGCAAATCTGCCAAGCTTCCCAGCTGACAGCTGATCTGGCTGGAATTTCACTTGAATCTAAAATTATTCAAAGGCGACCAACTCAGGGCTAAATCCGGTGTCAGCCAGACTTAACTTGGAGCAGCAGATTGATAAGTATGATGATAATGTTGTACTGACTGAATTAGCACTGTATAAATATACATAATGCTGAATTTATCATGCAAACTGTAGTAGATTATGGTGTTTCTCAATATGGCCTTTATTTTAGATTTGGCTATAATTTTATTTCCAGCCAAAATGATCAGGATTCCCTAAAAAAATAAATCGACACATCAAAAATAATGAAGCTCTTCTGGAGTGAGACGCTCACCTGACGATCAAGCCACTTCTCTGATGTCATCACATGTTTCTGAATTGAACAGATCAGAAATCAATCCATAAAACTGCTGTATGTTTATTGGAGATTTTAGGTGTTTTCAACATAAACTTTTTTTTTTTTTACCTTTGTGCAGTCACCTGTGATGACATCACACAGTGAGAGAATGGACATGTTTTGAGCTCGGTTCACCCAGCGCACGCTCAGCCTCTCCTCCGTCACCCATTTCACCATGGTGATGTAGTACTCACTAGTAAAAAACATAGATGGAAAAGTGGTGAGCGAATAACAATAAGATCTTACTGTTATTTTGAATGAACGTTTGTATGAAATGTACCTCTTTTCAAAACTGTCGGGAGGTCTTAGCTCAGTTGTTAGGGAGCTGCCATCTAGAGTGACCACACAGAGTCTGACAGTGGGATTGATCTGACCCATCTGTAGAAAAAACAACATAAATATATAATTACATTCACAGGCCTAATCGAGTTCGATGTGGTATCCACGATGCATTGCAATACACTATAGTAATAACAATAAGCACCGAGCAACACGCTGCACTTGTTCTCTATTTTTATCTGCTGTCATACTGAACAATGGCGGGAGGGCTGTAACAAAGAAAATAACGAGAATATGAAACAAGTACAGAGAACAAACTGTGTTGCAGCACAGTACACTGTGCAGGCCCCCGGGGCGAGTCAGTTGTTTTCCTTTGCTTAAGCCTCCCTCAAAAATAGAGCTCATTAATCGACATGACGAGGAAAATCTTAGTAATTCAGAGTGACCTGTCACAGAGACGACAGTATCTGTTCTGCACTTGTGCTCTCTTATTTTTATTGGTTATTATTCATGTCTTCTCCAGTCCCACACTCTCTCCTCTTTTGGAGGTATAATAGCCTCTTTTAATAATAACTGTGTTCAGTTCTGCTGATGCTATTTTCTCATATTACATGGGAGGTATAACATCATGGATCAAACACATTTGAAACTTGCAAAAAACAAATGCACAGTGGGCAATAGGTCAATAATTACATTATTATTTTCCTGCTCTCGAATACAGTGCCGCTATTAACGTATAGTATATAGTATGTGTTGTACTCTGCTCTAATGTCATTGTTTTTAAGTTGCCTTTAATGAATAGGACCGTGAAGACAGACAGGAAATGTGGGGATAGAGAGCAGGGGAAATGACGTGCAGCCAACAGTCTGACCAGGAGTCAAACTGAGGACTCAGGACGTTTGGGTATGCGCCCTAACCACTATCTATAGGGTTATATTATTGTTTCATTTCACATGCATTTCAGTTACATTGGTCAAGTCAAGACAATTATATTCACACAGCCCAATATCACAAATTTCCCACCAGGGGTTTTGAAATCTGTGCAGACATCTGTCTTTAGACGCCTGATTCAGAGGAGCAACAGAGGAGGGATTCCTCTTCCAGAATATAGGAGACACTTGTTCAATAATGTCTTGCACACAGTAATTTAGTTTTTTACTATGTCAGTCCTTGAACCTGTCACGGTCTATTTCTCTTTTAGCCAATCGGTGATGAGCACTGTGAACTACCACGTTTCTGGATGGGTGGGACTGAGACGAACAGCAGACAGAGACAATGGAGGGAAAAGCTCATTCACAGCTGTCAAGCTAAACATTTCAGTTGAGAAATGTTTGTTAATGTATTTATTTACAGGGCATACGTTTTCTGTTTGTGTTCTAACCCTTTAAAACCGGGGAGTTGGAGCTGTTTTTGACAATGATTTCACTTAATTGGCAAATGCAGTGACCACGGCTACTGCTAGTTAGTTAGCTGTCACTCTAATGGTAAGGGACTGAGAGTGTGAGGATGACATGTTTGGAGTTTTCTGGGTATGATCTATGTAAGGACTATTTGTAAACTTGATTCATATGTAACATTTGTAGTTAAAAGGAGGACATGTATGTGTGTAGATGTATGGACGCTGCACACCGCTGCAGGACAGGCGCTGTTGTCTGCTGCACACACAGGTAAACTGTTTTTTCTCCACCTCGTCCGTTAGACATTTCCAAAACTCATCAGCAGCTTTCAGAGTTTTCAGGAAACCTTGATTACTGACAGAACAACTTTCCTGTGGATTCTTGAGCTCCGGTGTGCATGCCAACAGCGTGGTGGCACAGAATGACTCACAGAAAAATCCTGGGTATTCAAAACTTTTTTTTTAGTTTTCAGTTACTTATCCTAGAGAGGAATTCAAAGTGTGAATAAATATTCTGTTATTCCCTTTATATTTTGTGCTTTTGCCTTGTTCATATATGTTGTTCATATGGTGATATGTATGATAACTGTAGTTGTTACTAAGGTAATGCAGAGTAGTTAACATTAGTCACATTAATAAGTTAACCAGGCCTCTCTGCACCTTAACCAGAGTCATATGCTCTATTTATTGTAACTGTATTGCCTCCTCATTTAATATTACAGTTATTATATCTAAAGGCAGCAGGACAGCTACTGTATATTGATAAATCTGCAGACTCCGGGGCGACCCGAGTGGTTAGAGTACATCAGTGTGAGCGCAGGTGCCCTGAGCAGAGAGTCCCGGGGTCGACTCCCAGCCAGTGTCTTTGCTGCATGTCACTCTCCTGCTCTCTGTCCCTGCATTTCCTGTCAATCTCCACTGTCCTATCAAATAAAGGCACAAAAAAATAACTTAAAAAAAAAATAAAATAAAAATCTGCAGCCTCTGATGTGAAAAGTGCTACACCAGGCTGCTACAAAGAAACCCCAGAAAATTCTATACACACCAGACTGGTCCGTTATGACTCAGTATTCTGTTGGTTAAGTGGGAGGTGTTGGAATCAGCGGCTCATCAGTCCTGTGTGTCGCTGCCTCGCTGTATTTCATCTTTTGACTATTTTTGACGTGAGGTACAGCGGACTTATGCTGTCATATAAAACAGCTTCATCTACAATTTCTTATCATTTATTTTTTTATCATTGTACTAATAAAACACCACATGTGCTTCTGGCCCCCCAGCGTTGACACTGTGTGATTCCATACAGACGACAACAACACGATTTCCTGAAAAAGCATCTTTCCATTTGTTTTGAGACGTTGCCGTCATTCTCCCTCCTGATTGGCCCAGCCGTCAGTGAGGTGACCGGATCACAGTGTTTTTAATCGTGAAAAGACCCCTCCCACCTATGTGCAGCTTCTACTAGCTGTTTTGCACCTTTGCACCGCCGCACCAAATGAACTGAAATGGCAGGTGATCCTGGAGACACCCACGCAGTCTGTCAGACCAAGAGGTGCTGCCTTGCACTTAATAGGGCCCTTCGTCTTAGTCTTGTTATTTGCAAATAATTATACAATGTGGTGCTGGCCTAAAAAAAAAAAAACAAAAAAAACAAAAAACAAATCCAGAATGGCATTCTTTAAAATGTCAGTTTGCCAGTGTGAATGTCACACTAACAATAACTGTGTATTTTCTTAAGCGCAGACACATGATACCCATAAAGCATACTCTCTGGGGTGTGCTTTCTACTGTGCATTTCACTACAGAAGTGAATCCCCAAGAGACTGAAGCTGACGCACCACTGTCGAAGTGCTTTACAGCATCAGCGCTCTCATAGACAAAAGGAAGGAGAGGGAAATTAAATCTCTGCTTCATTTAGTCCCACAAGATTACCACACTGACCTCATTCAAAGATATAAGCAACAGAATCACTCTGTGTGTGTGTGTGTGTGTGTGTGTGTGTGTGTGTGTGTGTGTGTGTGTGTGCATACAGTTTTTACACACTGTGTGGGTATGGCTAAGCTAAAGCAAAGTGCTTCATTAATTAGAAGTCTTCCTGTGAACCCCCACCCACCCCCCATCTGTGTGTCTGATCCGGCAAATGAGAATGCCCTCTACCTTATGACCCTCATTCCACCACCACCCCCACCCCCCCCACCTATCTCCACGTCTGAGAGTCATTTGATACGCTACACTTCCACATCAAGGGATGGGAGGTGTGTCACGAGCCTTTATAAAGCATACCACATTCCTTTGCCTCCCAGTGCCACAGATTCCTTCAACCCTCCCTCTTCAAAGGGAGCAAGTCAGCGTTAACATGAATTAAACAAGAAAAGGATTCACTAACCTTCGTGGATAAACTGAAGCACAGAGCTCGCAGCTGTATTATTCATAGCACCGGTTTGATACAGTGAAGCCGCTACATCGGCTGTAGTACTGTCAGCTTGTAACGGCTGTTGTACAGTATCAAGTAAGCTAAAGGATGTTGGGAGCAGTGGGAGTTCATCTGGATCTAATTATTTCGAGCGATGCTCTACTGATCGGAGGAGGCTCGGGCTGACTGCTGGGAGTACCTTTGGGTAAGGGTACTCCTTCCCTCTGGGATAGAGAGATCCTGTGAAGCGAGGCAGCAGCATGTTAGGGACCAGGGAGTCGTTGACCGTCAGGTAGGCCAGTCTGGATCCATCAGGTGACCACCAGTGGGCCACCTGAGTGTGTAACACCTCCTCTGGAAAAAACCGAGAGAAGAAAAATCGGAAAATCTGAGGCAGTAGAGTGGAGCCTGTTAATCTGAGACAGCCGTCACAAAGGAGATGGTCCTGCAGGTTTTGTTAGCCAGTATTTTTTTTTTTTTTTACCAGTAAAACACATTGGAGAGAAGGCTGTGAGTGGACCACAATCCCAACAGTCTATCTGCCAGAATAGTAAAACATCCAAGATTGATTTTTACTTTTTTTTAACTTGTTTTTAAAGCACTTGCACCAGTATATATGTTCCACACGCTATGAACCCAGTCTGTTAATTGTTCTGAAGAGCAGGACTAAAACCTTGGGCGAAGCAGCTTTCAGCTTTTATGATCCGAGCTGCTGGAACTAGGAACGTCTCCCCGAGGATCTGAGAGCAGCCGGAAGTGTTGAAATGACTCTTCAGTCTGCCTTTTTATTAAATATGGTTTTTATTCATTAGTAAATTTATTTAATTCACTTATTTTATTGCATCTATGTTGTATATTGCATTTTATTCTACTTAATGTTATTTTATCATGAATTTTCTCACGTTTCTTTTGTTTGCAAATGATAATAAATAATATAGTATTCATATAATAACAGTTTTTCTCAATCGCTTTGATGCAACTCACTCATCAGAAACGTCGTTCTCATCTCTCCTGATGCAGTTCTCAAACAGTTCATGCATTTCTCCTAACACTAACTCACATGTGCAGAAGCCTCTAAAACAATCAAATCCTTGTTCACATCGAAACATGCAAAGTCAGTCAATCACTTCAACCTTGTCACCAACCAGAGCTTCAGGACTTAGACGCCGAATGTTTTGATGTTTTGATAAAAAAAACTTTAGCAGATGAGAACTGCAGAAAATATAGAGCAAAAAATGTTCAGACACAACAATGTGCTGCAGTTACAACGGCAACATGTCGGAAGAATAACTACATTCTGTTTCAACATCGTACTGGTGTTTACTGTGCCGTTTACATTTCAGACACTGTCGTGTCACTTTACAACACTGTGTGGAAATGTACATACAAACCTATGAAAGACAGAAGAGCTTTAGATTTAGAACATGGTGTATCCAAAAATTTACTGTAATGAAAAAAGTGTTCTGCATTTGATGCAAACACTTGATTTTTAGATGTGGTTTGTGAAAGCTTCACTGCAGTGTTTCATTTTGCAGCAGATTTGTGGCACTTTGTATTTTGTATGTGTGATTTTTGGATTTGAGGGAAGAGTTTAGAAAAAAAATGAGAACTGGTTCAAAAAAAAAGTGTGAAAGCAGTTGCAAAAAAAAAACTGCATCTGTAAATTCGCACAATATAACTGTAACTGAGGAAAGTGATAAACATGGAACTATGCATTCAAATACACTGTATGTATGTGTGTGTGTGTGTGTGTGTACCTTGCTCTTTCATACATATTTGAGGAAAGTTTAAAGTGATTTGAAAACACTAATGCAAAGCAGGATCGTGTCAAAGAGAGTGAAAGGTTTGTTATTCTATCTGACGAAGGTACAAACCGCGTTCATGAGCTGATGGAAATTCAGCTGTTTTGAGATCTGCATTAAGAGTTGTGAGAATGATGTTTCTGATGTGTGAATTGCATTCAGCAGTTACAAAGTGCTTCACAATTAGTAATAAAAATGCATAAATGGATCATTTTAAATTGAAATTACAGCTTTTTAATTGTATATCATTGTTGCACTCACTTGTATGAAAAGTGCTTCACAAATAAAGTTTGATTAATTGATTGAAGATCAGCAGCAATGAAACCTTTTGATTTCCTTCCTTCAAAATAAGCAGTTGTCAGCTGAGGTCTGTACGGTCTGTATGGTACAGGTGTAGAGGTGTTCAGAGACTTGTAAATCCCTTTTTTCCCTTCAGATATTACCTTGCCCTCACAGAAAAAAAAGCTGTTATTCAGGTTACATACAGGCTGTCTGCAGCCTTAGAGGGAGACTGCAGGCACTCTGCAGGCCTGAAAAACCTCCTGCCATCTGAAAACATCAGCATCTGCTTCTGCATGTTTGTAATCTATATTTTTTAGCAGGGTTACTGCATTAATAATGCAGAAATTTACATTTTTTCTTTTTCTTGTAAGTCCATTATAGTTATCAACTGTAACAACCAGTTCTATCACAATTTATTTAGTATAGAAATAAAATACAGGAAATTGCATTAACCACATAAATCTCTTTTCATTTTTTTTTATGTGAAGAACCTATGACTACATTTTGACTTAATTGTGATTTTTTATATTCATACATTGTCAAAAATAGTTTTACAGCTCCTCCGCCTGGAGGACTGCTAGATACTCTATAGGTAGTGTTTGAATACCTCCACCTTTTCAGTTGCTTTCCGCCGGCCTCTCTCTTACCCTCATACAGCCAGTCTGCGATGCCATTGAAGACGATCCCCTCCTGTCCAGAGGACGTGAGTCTCCACGAGCTGCTCTGAACATCTGTTTGGTAGTAGATGTTGTTTTCAAATATATATATCTGTGGGCACAGAGGCAATATAGAAAACTAAGACAAAAACAGTGTTTTATATATTATCATATAGACACATAACATACAGTACTGTACTGCATGCTATGTACTGTGAGGGAAAATGCCACGCAGAGGGACAATGCAAAAGAGACACGCAGATGATATCTTCATGTTTTCACTTGCTTTGATTCATTTAATTGAGAATGCATTTAAAGATTTCAGGGGCGAATTACTAGGATGATTAAACTGTTCAGGGGGATTGAAATATCATCCATATTATATATTAATATAATATAATAATATAATATATATACTAACAGGTATATACTGTATATATTTAATTGAATGTGTGGATGAATGCTAATGTTAGCTATTCTAACTTTAGTCTTAAGTTACAGTTGAACTAAATGAAGCTTAGTGCAAGTTCAATCAGGAAGACTATCTCTATCCTCCCTCTCTCACCCCACTCCTCGTAATCAGCTGATTTCAGGTGCTCGGGAACCAATCACATCGCGCCACGATCTCATACTGCCAATCAAGTTGTCCCCCGTCATACTTTAAAATCTGTTCTCCTCTTTCCTGTTGTCATCTGTCATTTCAATGCGGTTGCTGCGACCCTCCCCCACCCACTTCACCTCCAGTCAGGCCGAGCTCATCATCACTCTCTCCACCTCCAGATCTCCAGCTTCTCCTCTTTCTATCTCCAGGACCACCACCAGTGTCTAAACCCTGGGGGGGGGTTTCCTATAATTTGCACAGCCTCACTCCCTTATCACATATGATGACATCACGATGGGGTCTAACCGCTAAAGACTGTCATATCTCTCACTTTTCCTCTCTTTGCACATGGCAATAAAAATGTATTCGTTAAGCAAATGAGTCTTTCCTGATTGAACTAATGTTATGCAGCTGATAGCGCACCCTGATTTCCAATATGAAATGTCATAGATGATCTAATGTTAGCAAACAGTGGTGCTCAGTCATGAGCAGTGAGACAGTGGAGGATTAGTTGTTGTTTTGACATCAATATAGAGTTTATTATTTCATTTTCATAGTCTTTGTGTGTCTGTGGCGGTTTTGTCTTTTAGCTTTTTGATATTAGCTTTTAACGATACATCCACTTTAATTAGTTTACCTGGTTGGGTAATGGAACAATATTAAAATCTGAGACTGCTAGGCGATATATCTAGTGGTCATAGTAATGATGACAGGAGCAAAGGGAAAAGTGCGGTTACGTTAGTATAAAGAGAGACAAAGTCCACGTCAGGAGGAGGCTGTGGTGGATGAGTGAATATGACACAGGAGAGCTGTGTTCCATTTCCATGTGAAACCAGCAGTTTATGTTGTTTCTTATCACGTTGTCATTATCCATGACCGTTCGTTCTTATTATTGTAACCTTGACAACAAAGATCATCTATTTAATTTTAACCCGATGATCTTTTCCTAAACCTTACCAAGCCATTACCATTATTATAGCAACCTCTGCAACGTTCGGTACGCTGCTCTCTCTATTTGAGGGGAGGAACAAACGACCGACATGCTCGTATGGATTGGAGGACTTGTTGTAAAACCCATGTGTGCTGAACTAATATTCACAGTGTTGGAAAGTAACTAAGTACGTTTGTGATAAATTAAAAGAGTAATACACTAATGTTACAAGTTACAACTCCACTACATTTCAGAGGGAAATATTGTACTTTTTACTCCACTACATCTCTTTGACAGCTTTAAACAAGCAAGAGACTGTAAGGACTGTGACACTTCAGTTCACTGAAGCCCGCGCCTGCTCTGTACCGGGTTCCCTTGCGCCTGGGAGAAAAAGTTGACCCCCTTGATTGTCACTGTATAATTTGCACTCACATGTCACAGAGACGTGGCAAATCCTTGCCTTGCCTTTGTCAGAACTAAGGCGATAGAACATCTCTGTTGACCAAATTGAGAAGAAACCTGGTGATGTGATCACACGGAGAGAACACGCTCACTGATAAAAACATAAAAAAACGTATTCTGACGCATTTCTGGTGATAACACGGACGAACATGCACGGAGAGCTCATGTGTAAAGAATACGTTGTCATTAGCACCGTGACACACTCCTGCAGGGCTTCCAGAAGAACAGGTTCCACCGAGGGCAGGTATAAATACTGAGGAAACGAGATAAAGATGCTATCAAATGGTTAATTACTTTCCTTGACTGCACTGGAGAAAATAATGGACTGAATATTCAGCGCATAACACTCTGCACGGTGGAGACATTACTCACACAGAGAGCTTTGGTCACCCAACATGATGTCTTCCAGCAACAGCTTGATTAGTCTGACTGTTGTTGGCTTCTCTTCAAAATAACTGTTTAGTTTAACCGGAGTCTGCCTTTCCTTTCAAGTCGCAAAGAGTCTTTGATCAGCCTTTACCTCAGAGCGCAGGGGACGAGGAGAAGAATAAAATGAATTATACATAAAACATTATATAAGACATAAAAATTAAACATGGATTTTCACCTTTCTGTGTGCAGCAAGGCGTCTTCATTTTAAATGACAAGAATGTAAAGTAGAGCCAAACTACATTTACTTTCACTGTGGATTCATCAATTAATTATTTCATCTGTAAAATAGCTGAAAATAATGAAGAATGCACATTCTGAGTGTTTCACAGTCTAACTTCAACTATTACAATTTGCTCGTTTGTTCATATTTAATTGCTATAAAACAGAAAAAAAAACATTTTAGAAGGTTGAAAAACAAATAAATGATCATCATCATCAAAAGTGATTAATTTAATTGATTGATTAATATTCTGTTGATGAACTAGTTGATGAATTGGGAAATATTTCTTCCTACAGCTGTTTTTTTGACTCATCACCTCTAAATCTCTCCTGGATCTTCACAGGTGTAAAATAACGTTATGAAATGCATGATTTGACCAGAAAACCATCAAAGAGCCTCCAGACAATGTTCAGTAGAGTCTTATATCTGTGCTCTGTATCGAATCGTTTCACATTAGCAGATCATTTCTACTGGATAATTTCTGCATTATTATTCATGCATGCTTATCATCCAGAGACGGGATTTTATCACAGAGTGAACATTATGCATGTTCTTGTTTAACCCAGTGCTGTGGAAAACCCATAACATTCATTGAGAAAAGGAGGATGATGGGCCAGTATGAACTGTCCTCATTGCATCTGTTGATGAGGAGATGCATAATTGAAATTTGGTTTCCCCTCGGTTGGGATCGCCCCATATATTGCACAGAGTTTGATAAAAAATAGAACGCAGGAGGCGTTAAGGTTCAGGTTATAATGTTTTTCTTTGACTTGTTTGAATAATTAAGTGAAAATGTTATTCTTTCACCTCACTTTTATTCCCTTTCACAGTTTTTTTGAGCCCTTTATTCGACCCTGGAAACTACTCACCAGCTGCTGACCATGAACACCCCACGAGGCGAACTGGAGGACAGAGTCTGACACCTCTGGAGGATTCAGCTCCCGGACCTCTCTGATGGAAGGACAATGAAGAAATGTGAACCAATCACTGACTCTGACTATGTCCATGGTCTGAACTCTCACTTCTGTTTATCTTATAAAAAATCTCATTAATTTGCGTTAAGACAAAAGACAACACAAAAACATTTTTTTGACCTTGAATTGTATGTAGTTGATCTTGGCGGTGGACACATGATTATAAAATGAAAAAAGGAATTTTGCTATGCCAGGTCTTTATGTAGTGTACAGTGTACTGTATGTAGTTCCTCACCTTGTATACAGGTTGTAGATCAGGTACGATGCTAAGAAAGAGTGCTGGTAGACCTAAAAGCAGATCACAAGAAAAACAAGTTCAGAGTTATGATGAACAGACCTGATTATTAATGGAGGTCCTAATCATCAGTAATGGACCATTACTGATAATTAGGACCTTAATAACCAAGAAAAACAGAATAATTTAGATAATCATGACTAAATTATTCTTCAGTCTTTTATTTAAAGGTAAAACTAATATTCTTAACATAGCATTTAGTCTTGTGTGTGTTTTGTGATTTTCTTGCAACACCAGCATTGTGTACTTTTACTTCAGTTAGTCATTTCCTGCCTTTTTGATAGATCCAGAGTGAGGTTCCCTTTATTTAATTGGACAGTGATATCAATAACACAGCATGGTTTTCCATTTTAGAGGAAGTGAGAGTGAAGTGAGAACAATGCTTTGCTGTGCTCTGTTGTTCAAATTACGAAAAGCCGCATAAAAAGCAATGAAGGTGCTGTTTTTCACACAATGAAGCTGACAAATCAGCAAGAGCTCAACCAGGAAATAATATCCCCATAAATACAACCAAAACACAAAAAGTGTAGAGTGAACCAACTTTTAGAAAGAGAGTTTCAGCTTTAAATTTTTTTTCCATATTTGTTCAGTTTTCACTTCCTGTAATTACAGGTTTATGGTATAGTCACACATGACTGATGATACAGGCTAAAGGATACTCAGAAGTGATTTGACCTTTCACTTTTTGCTACTAAATTGTGATAATTTTATTTGTTTATTTATTTGCAAATTTATTTTACAAACAAAAAACTGAAATCTCTCATTACATGTGCAGTCAGACCCATAATTCAAGTCCCTTTGGTAACAATTCGAGCTGTGAATGTTCTTGGGTGAGGCCAAAGCCCAGACCACCGAAGCGAAAGGTGAACTGTCGCCCCGGTCTCTGGAGCAGGTTTTCTTCAAGGACCTCTCTGTATGAGGCTGCATTCATCCTTCCCTCGGTTCTGACCAGTCCCCCCCCCCCATGGTGCCGCCACCACCATGATTCACTGTAAATGAGTGATGAGCAGTGACTGGTGTTCACCAGAAATGGTCTTTAGAGTTCAATTTTTGTCTCATCAGACCACAGAATCTTTTTCTTCTTTTAAATCCTTTAGCGCAGGACATAGTCGGGAATAATTTCCAACACAGCCAATAAAAAATACAAGTGTGCAGATGTTTTGAGGCATATCTTCTTCTCTTAGAGCTAACATTAGAGGCTAACATTAGCTTTTTCCCACTGATCCAGCATTTGGGCTGAGTTAGGCTAATGATGTCTCAGACTAATCTCCCTACCTGTCTTTCTCAAAGATATTTCAGTAGTAGTATTTCCTTAGTGTTGGTCCAGTCTTAATCTTGCTCATGGATCAGTCTGGAAAATAAAGGTTGACTCTCTTTTTAAGCCAAAAAAAATCTAATTGCTATGTTACTAAGGTAACAATCAGTGACACCTTCACTGACCAGTAGCACCCGACAACATAAAACAGGAAAACATGGCTCATAATTTGCAGTTTACTAACATTGTTATTGAGAGAGTGATGAGAAGGGAAAGTTTTTAGACACTGCAGCCATTGTTTTTTCCAAATCATTTTTTCCTTTTTATTGTTAGACTTTTCACACACTCTTGTAATTGTTGTATACTTCCAAAACAGAAGCTGTTTTCTTATTTAGAAAAAAGTCTTAATTTACCCAGAATTCATTGTACCAAAGTCTGGCTTAAGATGGTCAAACTGAACTGGTCTTTGTACAGCACAACTGCAGATTTATACTTTTCTTCATATAAAAATCTGTCATTACAAAACATTAAAATTATGCCTGAATCAGGTTTAACACTTCATACTTTACACAAACAGGCCCTGAATAATATTTAAAAAATATAATAACATTTTAATAGTATTAAAATTTCAAAACAGATAATTTACCAGTATTAATTTGCGGTGCCAACTGTATAATTTCACAACGTGGCTAATCTTTTGCAATTACCGGTAAAAGTATTTTGTGTCATATATACATTTCAACTTTCAGTCTGCAGCGCCACGTATTTGATCATCCACTAATATGTGTCATGAAATGTCCAGAGAATTTCCTCTCACAAAGCCTTTGTTTTAGGATTCTTTGAGATAATGGCGGAGCACCTGGGTGCCTCCGCATACTAATCAGCTGGAGTGTTACAGTAAGCTCACCCCACAGCGATACGATAAATACTGTAGAGCCACTCCACTCCCCTCGGCAACAGATCAGTTGCCGCTCGGCTGATCCACTCATCACCCAGCCTTCACTCCTTATTTGGACCACACTCCTCACACAGGAAGCAAAATGCGATTGTATTGTAACTTTGACTGCTCTTCTCTTCTTCCTTCAAAAAAGATGTCAGCATCATTCAGCAGACGCCCCTCCTAGGTGACAGCTCTGTGATGAGCCCTTGATAAGGTTGTCAGCAATGGGTGACACTCCAGAGGGGTGGGGGGGTTGGGAATGCGGAGACAGGCAGTGTTGTGTTTGATTGTGGCGTGCGGCAGTATCCTCAGCAGAATAAGGGCTACATGGCACTTGTAAATAATTCCGAGTGTTTGATTTGTACGGCTTAGAATATCATCACTTTGATGGTGTTTGCAGCACAGTCACGACTGCAGCTGCAGAAACATTTAAATTCTGACACTTAATTGGAATTTTTCTCACATCTGAGTCGTCCCTCTGCTGTTGATATCTGGAGCTGGTAAATGACTGTTGAGAGAAACGCTGTGAATCTGTCAATGGGATCTAAACGCTATTTTGAAGGCGTTGGATGGTAGAGAGGACGGACATGACTAAAACAAATGTACTGTATGTGAGTGTGTAGACGGCCGCGCTGCAGTTTGGTACACCAGTTAATTGAACGCACAGTAGTCAAAAATGAAATACTCGATCTGTCTGGAATTAAAATTCATAGTGTAAAATGATTCCGCAAATACACACATGTAATGTCTTTGCGAACCTACACAGAGAAGGGTGTTATGGGTAGCCTTAAGTTGCAGAGAGCTTAAAGAGGAACCAACACCCCACTGTTGCTTCTCCTCTTGCCCTCAGTGAGCTAGACAATCGTTCTCCTCATGAACACAAAGCTAGCAAATCACGCTAAAGGGATAATCATGACACAAAAGCATCTGAAAAGTAACGTGAGGAAGTATTTTCGCTTCAATGGCATAGATGTAAAAATCAGGGATAAAGGTGAGGCTGTTTGTTGTCCTACAGTAACATTATGTTGACAATGAACTGGAAGTCACCTGTTTGTCACTAGTAAGGCAGTGAAGCTGTGAATGAACATAACAACATAAATCCTACAAAGTAATGAATTCAAATTCATTGAGAACAAATTGTTTTAAGTCCTCATTCGCCCTTCCTCCTGCGAGCTCAGAAACTCAGGCGTGTCCTTTAAAAACTCCATGATAAACCCTCAAGTGAACGTCTAGAAAAGTAAAAGCTTTACTGTTCTTTAAGAGAATTTCCGATTTGAACTACATTCATGCTTCATACATACATACACCGACTGACAGGTGAAGTGAATAACATTGATTATCTCGTTACCATGGCACCTGTCAGGGGGTGGGATATATTAGGCAGCAGGTGAACATTTACTCTTCAAAGATGATGACTTGAAAGCAGCAAAATGGGCGAGCGTAAGGATCTGAGCGACTTTGACAAGGGCCGGATCGTGAAGGCTGGACTGCTGGGTCACAGCATCTCCAGAACTGCAGGCCTTGATGGGTGTTAGTGGGTTAGTGCTAGGCCTGCATGATACGAGGAACATTTGCGATGTGTGATAACACTGGTCAATATTGCGATGATGATATTATTGGCGACAATTAAACAAATATTGCAGTGTGCATATACAGTTTTGCTGAGTGAAGCTGAATGAAGAACAAAGACAAAGGTGATTATCGGTCATCTGCTGCAGGTAACGCCGCTGGGGGTGGGGGGGGTGGGTGGCTGTCTCAGGCTGGAGTTATAAGTTTTTAAAAGTTTGTATCAAACGAAGCTTCAGTCTACACACAGAAAACCTTCCCTTTTAGCTTGTTCATAACAGTTCACTGTTAGCCTAACGTTAGCCGCTGCGCTGATGTAAAACAAACTGCGGTGGATGGAAAGGTTGAAAATGTAGCTTTTCTTCCTGTTTAAATCTTGTTGAACAGGTGATGTATTGAAGGACACTAATTGCTTTTTACTCACAAAGGTTGTGATGACACTCTCAGAGCTACGACTGTAGCTGTTGTCAGCTCCAGTAGAAACTTCCCTCCTCGCTGGTCTCCCCCGCCGCCTCAGTGCTGTCCGCTGTGTGTGTCACAGGCTGCAGCCTGACACCAAAACGCGGGAGTTTTTTTTCCGGTTCATTTGGCTAAGGCCTTGAAAACCCAGTGTGACTGCAAAAATACTTTTTTTTCTCATTCATCACCTTTTATTTACACGTTTTGCAATGTGTTTATTGCACATGTTCACATCGCGGTGAGGATAGGCGCCCGCGGCTCATGGATGTGCGTGGGGAGCAAAGGATAGCTCGTGTTGTCCAATCACACAGAAGAGCTACTGTAGCACAAATTGCTGAAAAAGTTACTGCTGGTTCTGATAGAAAGGAGTCACATCACACAGTGCGTGGCAGCTTGCTACGTATGAGGCTGCGTAGCCGCAGACCGGTGCTGACCACTGTCTGCCGCCAAAAGCGCCCACAATGGACACGTGAGCATCAGAACTGGACCAGGGACCAATGGAAGTCGGTGACCTGTTCTGATGAATCACGTTTTCTTTTACATCATGTAGACAGCCGGTGCGTATGCGTCGCTTACCCAGGGAAGAGATGCCACCAGGATGCATTATGGGAAGAAGGCAAGCCGGCGAAGGCAGTGGTGATGCTTCGCGCAATGTTCTGCTGGCAAGTACACTCCCTCATGGGAAAAGTATTCCCTAATGGCAGTGGCCTCTTTCAGCAGGAGAATGTTCCTGCCACGCTGCACGCACACAAACGGTTCAGAAACGGTTTGAG